CATCGATGTTTCTAGCTCTCTATCCCTCTCCCTTCCTCTCTGTAAAAAATCAATAAAATATATTTAAAAAAAAAAAAAGAATTCACATAGGACTCTTCAGTGAACTGTAAGTAAAAATATATGGCATATACTTATTAACTAAAATAGTAAATTTCAAGTGCAATTCAAAAATTAAAAAAGAACACATATGTGTGTAGGGCTTATTCATTCAATACCTGTCAGGGCACATTACTGGGTAGCTGAGTCAATCCCTGGTCAGGCACATGGGAAGACAACCCATCTATGTTTCTCTCTCATGGATTTTTCTCTCTACACATCTCTCTCTCCCTTCCTCACTTCAAAAAAGCAATTAAAAAACTAACAAAAAAATGAATACTGATAATAACCAAATATGTCAAAAGATCATAGCATTTCCTGAATAGGACTCCAGAACTCTGGCATCACCTCAAAGGTCGGGGCCAGGAGCCCTGTCCCTCTCAGCAGTTGCATGAATGAGAGCAGATGTTACCCCATAGGGTGTTTCCTGAAATTCAATCCTGTTGTGTCCTCCCCAGACTTCTCAGTTCTTTATAAGAACCCCAAGGGGACCCAGGAAAACACTGGAAGTGTTGCACATGTAGCGCTCCAAGTTCAGGACAGTTTAACATTCTCCCAGCATGAGAAACTTTTCATTTTATTTACATTTTTATTGATTTCAGAGGGAATGTGAGAGAGAGAGAAAGAAACATCTATGATCAGAATCATCAATCAACTGCCTCCTGCATGCTGCCTATTGAGGATGGAGCCCACAACTCGGGCATTGTATGCTTGACTGGAATTGAACTCAGGGCACCTCGGTCACAGGACAATGTTCTTGCCACTGAGGCAAAACAGCTAGGATCACTTTTGTTATTTTACATTGTTTTTAATATTTATTTGTACATATTTTTTTCTAGAGCAATTATGAGTTTTTACAAATTGTTATACTACCAAGATGGAAAAGATTCCATCAATTCAAAGAAACACAATCGTGGTGTCTGTTTATATGGATTTACGAGAGGTTCCTCTGAACATTTGTGTTCTTTTATTTAAATGTTTTTTTGATTGATTTCAGAGAGGAAGGAAAAATGAAAAATAGAAACCTCAATGATGAGAGAGAATCATTGATTAGCCGACTCCTGCACGCCCTCTGATGAGGATCAAGTCTGCATGCCAGGCATGTGTCCTGACTGGGAATCAAACCATGACCTCCTGCCGAAACCGGTTTGGCTCAGTGGATAGAGCGTTGGTCTGAGGACTGAAGGGTCCCAGGTTTGATTCTGGTCAAGGGCATGTACCTTGGTTGCAGGCACATCCCCAGTGGGGGGTGCGCAAGAGGCAGCTGGCTGATGTTTCTCTCTCGTTGATGTTTCTAACACTCTATCCCTCTCTCTTCCTCTCTTTAAAAAAAAATCAATAAAATATATTTTAAAAAGAAAATAAACGTGCTGTATAGGCTCTGGGTCCCTGTCTCTCAGAGGACAGTGGTCCCACCCAGTCCCAGCTTTCCCTACTGAAAATAAATAAATAAATAAACATAATAAAAATAAAAAGGAAAAGAAAGTCATACTCACTAAGAACAGCTTCTTTGGAAGAGAGACTCTAACTTCGTTTTCTTGCTTGGTTTGTATACTTTTACAATATTCCTAAATTTATGAACTGTTGATTCATAAAGGAGATAACTATTCATGGAGTATATTAGAAATTATAGATATATCACTTTTTGGAAACACATCCCATACCCTCTAAGAAATATGTCAGTATTCAGATAACAAGAAAGGCAAAAGTTGTTTGAGGCATTTGGTTGAAGGCCTTGCACTCCCTGCCAGCCCTAGATATACGTTATTAAGGTCACAGATGTCCATCATCACACAGAGCTACTCCATGACCAGGATGAATCAAAAAAGAAGCAGAGGCACTCATCTCTGTATACTTGGAAGAAAAAGAACAGGATTCCAAAGAATAAAAGTAACAAAATTCCCCTTTCCTCACCAATATGATTTGTTTCCTACAATTCAGGGTTAGTATGGCTTTATTTTTTCCTGCTTTCTAAATAAAAATTACTATCACCACCCTATGTAGAATTAAGTTCATTTCCTCACAGAATCCAATACAGAAAAATGTCTGGCTTCCTTAAATGGCAAATAAGTGACATATCACCAGGCAAAATTCAACAACAAACCCTTCTCAGTGTGCTGTTACTGTCACACCCCACAGCCATTTAGGGTTTATGGTCATTGTTATTCGAATTCATTCCATGTCTTTTTTACCACAGATTTGATTATGTTGGTATTTGGCTGGAAGAGACAGACAAAAACATGATTGAATTTTTCAATATTTTAAACGAATAAGAAAGCAGTCTGTGCCAAATAAGTATAAAAATTTTTAATTTCCCTGAGAAAACATGTTTGATTTTATACACTCAGGATACTTGTAACTCATATTGTATGATTAAGTGGAAAAGATTACATGTTGATATGAAAATACATAATTACAATGGGATAGTTAAAGATGTCCTCAGGAAACAATAAAACAAAATAGCTATTAGCATAAGAGTGCTTGGCAACAGTTCATATTTAAGAAGTACAGAAGCATTGATTACAGAGAAAAATGCACATAATTTTAATCCCATACAACTTAAGATACCTGACAACATTGAGAGATTAGGCTCAGCTGAGTGACAGCACACATCCAGCGTCTGCCTGAAATGAGGAAAGTGCCGATTCTCACATGGAAGGACTGACTCAGAGCCCTCACGGCAGAGGGTGGTACAAGAACAAACTGTCATGGGGCTCCTTGGCACTGCACCACTGCAGCTGTCACAGTGGGATCTGAATCACATCAGTAGTAGTATCAACAGGACAAGATGATTACTAGTCAAATTAGACTTCATGCAAATGTAATCTAGAGAGCAGTTATGTACGCTTCTGAAAACAGACTCAACCATGAAAGTCTATGTTTGTTGCCTGGTGGACACCTATGGGCTTACAGGAAAAGCCAACCTACGCTGGATCTTTAATGTTGAATTCTGAACAACTGTAAAGCTTACACCCATCATCACAGGAAGTAATGCAGTAGCTGGCAGTTTTGGGGATATCCTTGGCTGGTAGGGTAAAGAGTGAGAAAAACAAACTAAAATATTTTCTTAATGTGACCTCCATGGCACAATTCCCAGCCAAAAGCAACACAAAAACCAACCAGGAAAATAATTCACATAGGAGTCTATAGTGAACTGTAAGCACAAATATATGGAAAATACTTATCTAAAATAATAGAGAATTTCAAATGCAATTTAAAAATTTAAAAAATACATATGGGTGTACGGCCTTTTCATTCAAAACCTGTCAGGTCACATTAGCTGGGTTGATCCCTTGTTGGGCACGTGTAAGGAAGTTTCTCTTTCACACCGATATTTCTCTCTACTTCTCCTCTCTCCCTTCCTCACATCAAAAAAAGTAATTTAAAAATTTAACAAAAAATGAGTATTGATAATATGTCAAGTTTATAGAACTTTTTTTAATGCTGTGAGTTTTGGGAAGTATATGACTTTATTTGTAACAGGCTTGTTTATATGTACCAGTCAGTTACACTAATAGGATTTCTTTTAAGTGCAATTCTCAAGCTACTTTGAAATTGTTCAAATTTTAAAATTAATTTTCATTGTGAAATATTCAGTGTACATTCTCACATGGTAGTGTAGGAATACTAGTGGCCCAGTCAACAAAATATGTGCACATTAAAAGAGAATTAATTAGAGGAAATATCTTAACATTGCTATTTGTCCTTTATAATAGGAGTGTCAGAGATGAAAGAAAATTGGTAAAATATATATGAAAATCTCCCTCCTGTCAAGAGTCTCGGGCATACCATGGGACCCAGAGTCAAGCTCTGCTGGGCAGGGAGAGCAGCCCCAAGAATGGGGGTTCGGCCTCAGGTCTTCCAGCCCCAGCATGAGGGCATGACAACCACTTGCCTAGTAGCTTTTTATTATATAGGATGAGGCAACATGAAGGTTTTCCTACATTTTTACATTCAAGAGTTTTTTTCATGAGATTTCCAAGGAAAAGTGAAAGCTGAAGGCTTTCCTACTTTCTCTATACTATTTCTCCAGGTGCATTCTCACAAATCCAAGAAAGGCTCTCCCACATTCCTTATGTTCATACACTTAGTCTTGGGTGTGAGTCTTTTCATGATTTTGTAAAGAACTAACATGGCTAAAAGCTCTTCTACCATCTTTACATTGACAGGGCTTCTCTTCCGTGAGTTCTTTCATCCTTTACAATAAACTAGAAAAAATGAATGCTTTTTAATCCTCTTACTTTTCTAGGGTCCATCCTCAATATGGATAATCATACATGATGGCACAGCTGAGAGATAAATGAAGGCTCTTTGCTATTCTTTACATTAAGAGTGTTAACACATTTTGTTTCCACCTGTGCATAAAAACTAGTTGGAACCTGAAGGTTTACCACATTCCTTGCATTGATACGGTTCCTCTCCACTATGTGAATTTTTGTGAATGTGAAAGGATCTGGGATGACTACAGGCTTTCCCACTCATAGGGAAGACAAAAAGGTTTAACTCATTCCTTATTCATGAGGTTGCTTTCCATCATGACTTCTTTTATGTCTTTCAAGATGTGTAACACAACTGAAGGTCTTCCCACATTGCTTACATTAATAAGGTTTTACATTCATATGTCTTCTTCCATGCTTTCAAAGAGACTTGGAGAAACTGAAACCTTCACCACATTCCTTACATTCATAAAGCTTTTTTTCCACTGTGTGCACTTTCATGTCTGGGTATGTGCAGGAGGTAACCAATTGATGTTTTCCTTTAACATCAACATCGCTGTCTTTCTCTCTGACTTTATCTAGAAAGAAAAATATCCTAAGGTGAGTATATACAAAAAAAGAATTCAGATAGTCAAAGGGTTTTCTACAATATTCACAGGATAGGGCTTATTTTCAGTGTGAGTTCTTTCATTCATTATGATTTCTCTCCACAAGGAAACTGGGGTGAATAAATGCTTTACTACATTGCTTAAGGTTTTCACCAGTATGAATACTGTCGTGAAGTTGGAAGTGATATAAATCATGGAATGTTTTACCATATTCCTTACATTCATAAGGGTTCTTTCCATCATGACCTCTTTTATGTTTCACAAGAGAACTGAGAGAACTGAAGGCTTTTCCACATTGCTCACATTCATGGGGTTTTTCCTTATTATGAGTTCTTTCATGACATTGGAGGGAAGTTGGATAAGAGAAAGCTTTACCACAGTGGTTACATTTATAGGGTCTTTCCCCAGTATGCATTCTTTCATGAATTGTAAGGAAAGAGGGATAAAGAAAAGTTTTACCACATTCCTTACATTCATGAGGCTTCTTTCCATCATGATTTCTTTCATGTGTTACAAGAGAACTTGGATGACTGAAAAATTTCCCACATTGCTTACATTCATAGGATTTCTCCCCAGTATGTGTTCTTTCATGGTTTCGAAGATATCTGGAATATTTGAAAGCTTTCCCACATTGCTTACATTCATAGGGTTTCTCGATAGTATGCATTTTTTTATGATTTCTAAGATATTTGGAACATCTGAAAGCTTTCCCACATTGCTTACATTCATAGGATTTCTCCACATTATGTATTTTTTCATGATTTCTAAGAGCTTTGGAAAAAATAAAAGTCTTACCACATTGTTGACATTTATATGGTTTTTCCCCAGAATGAGTTCTTTCATGATGTTGGAGGGAAGTTAAATGACAGAAACTTTTGCCACAATGCTTACATTTATTGGGTTTTTCTCCAGTATGAATTCTTTCATGACGTTGGAGGGCATTTAGGGCAAAGAAAGCTTTCCCACATTGTTTACATTCATAGAGTTTTTCCTTATCATGAGTCCTTTTATGACTTCGGAGGGAAGATGGATAAGAGAAAGCTTTACCACAATGCTTACATTCATAACGTTTTTCCCCAGTATGAATACTTTCATGAAATCGGAGGAAATATCGGTCATAGAATGTTTTACCACATTCCTTACATTCATGAGGCTTCTTTCCATCATGGCTTCTTTTATGTTTTCCAAGAGAGCTGGGAGAAATGAAGGCTTTCCCACATTCCTTACATTGATAGGGTTTTTCCCCAGTGTGCATTCTTTCATGATACTGAAGAGAAGTTGAATAAGAGAAACCTTTACCACAAACCTTACATTTATAAGGCTTATCCCCAGTATGAGTTCTTTCATGATCTTGGAGAGAAGACTGATAATAGAATCCTTTACCACAATGCTTACATTCATAGCGATTTACCCGAGTATGAGTTCTTTCATGACGTTGGAGGGCAGACAGAAAATAGAAAGCTTTGCCACAATGTATACATTTATAGGGTTGTTCGCCAGTATGAGTTCTTTCATGATTTCTAAGGGAACAAGGATGATGGAATGTTTTACCACATTCCTTGCATTCATGAGGCTTCTTTCCATCATGAATTCTTTTATGGTATCCAAGAGAACTGTACAGACTGAAGATTTTCCCACACTGCTTACATTTATAGGGTTTCTCCTCAGTGTGCATTCTTTCATGATTTCGAAGAGAAGAGGAAAATATGAAAGCTTTCCCACATTGCTTACATTCATAGGGCTTTTCTCCACATTGTGTCCGTTGATGCTCTCGATAAGACTTTGGACAACTGAAGGCTTTTCCACATTGCTTACAACCATAGGGTTTTTCCCCAGTATGAGTTCTTTTATGATTTTGGAGAGAAGTTGAATAAGAGAAAACTTTACCACAAAGCTTACATTCATAGGGTTTTTCCCCAGTATGCATTCTTTGATGAATTACAAGGGCATAGCGACGACGGAATGTTTTGCCACATTCCTTACATTCATGAAGCTTCTTTTTAGCATGACTTCTTTTATGTTTTCCAAGAGAGCTGAGCCAACTCAAGGCATTCCCACATTCATAATGTTTCTCTCCAGTATGTGCTCTTTCATGATTTCTAAAAGAAGTGGAACTGAAAACTTTTCCAGATTTCTGACATTGATAGGGATTTTCTGCAGTCTGTGTTCTTTCATTTTTTCCAGAGTACTTGGGAGACCTGAAAGTTTTGCCACATTGTTTACTTTGATATGGTTTCTCTCCCCTATGAGCATTTTTGTGAAGTTTAAAGTAAATGAGACGATTAAAGCTTTTTCCACATTGCTCACACTCATATGGTTTTCCAGCAACATGTGTTCTTTCGAGATTTCCAAGGGAGGTTGAATAGTGGAAAGCTTTCTCACTGGGGCTACCTTCATGTCTTTGAATATGTTGATGATGCTTAAAAGCTTTCCCAGGTTTCTTACATTTATTAGGGTTTTCTTCATATTCCTGACACAGGTATAGGTTGGGTCCAATGTGAGAGCTCAGGTGATTATTCAAGGACAAATAGCGCATGAAGATTTGCCTACACAACCTGGAATTAGGTTGTTTTATTTCAGTAGCAGTTTTCTTCTTTTCATTATGATTTGGAATCTGGCTGAAGTTTTCTCTGCGTTGACCATCATCCTTCTTTGTAGAGAATCTCGCTACTATATGACTGCTGTAAAAATCAGAAGCATATTATTAATACTCTGTTAATGATTTAATATTTACTAATAGCATGACAATGGCATTTTTGCCAAAGGGTGGGGTTTCTTAACATTCCAATTTTTGAAAGTGAATATCCTAAAACTTCTGAAATAGGCTGGATCATAGAAATGAAACAGCTCCATTCATGAATGGTATTGTTGTATATTGTTTCCAAGTGCAATTATTTTTATACATTAAACATCTAGGCCATATTTCAGAAAAAACTTTTGGATGAGATAATTCTAAGAACCAATATATTTAAAACTGGGCTGATACAATTGGATTACCTGTTTTTAAGATTCTTTTATAAACCAGGCCCTTATGACTCAGGGGTTCAGAATAGAGCCATGGCGGAAACCGGTTTGGCTCAGTGGGTAGAGCGTTGGCCAGCAGACTGAAAGGTTCCAGGTTCTATTCCAGTCAAGGGCATGAACCTTGGTTGCGAGCACATCCCAGTGGGGGGTGTGCAGGAGGCAGCTTATTGATGTCTCTCTTTCATTGATGTTTTTAACTCTCTAACCCTCTCCCTTCCTCTCTGTAAAAAAAAAAAAAAAAAAAAAATCAATAAATTTAAAAAAAAAAAAAAAAAAAAAAAAGAATAGAGCCATGCACCAGGGGTTTGGCAGTTCAAGTCCCTAAAAGGGAACATGGCCAGCCAGCAGACTTATTACACCCCGGATGGTGAATGCAGGAGGCAGTCAATTGATTTTTGTATCACTTGCTCTCATCTCCATGCTCTAAAATCAATAAAAACATATTTTTGCACTACCAGAGAGGATCACTGACCACTGAGCCATGTGTACATGCCCTGGCCAGAGTGCATGCCCTGGTTCTTGATTCCGAATGAGGGGCATAGAGGAAGCAGCCATCAATAATTCTCATCATTGAAGTTTTTTTTCTCTTTCTCCCTCTTCCTAACTCTCTGAAGAAAAATCTTAAAAAATTAAACATACAAATAAATAAAATAAATATATAAAAATATATTTTTAAAAAACCACAAAGATGCTCTTAATGCTTTGTCATGTCAATGCGACTCACCTAAGATTCATCCCGTGATTTTCATACTGATCTTCACTGTCAAAGCCTTCACATTTTTCTTCTAAAATACATGCTAGAAAAAGCATTACAAATTATGAAGTAATACTAAAAATAGTTAGGTTTTAGGTACACAATGAGCTGTGATTATTCCTAATTTAATTTCCAATGTATTCCCTTTCCATATTTCAGTACTTGAAACAGCATTGATGATCAAGCAACACTAGATTTCTAATTGTCTAAATAAGTAACAAGTTGTTGCAGGCCAGAGTCACTCTATGGTTGACTGTCAACCTATGAAATGGGAGGTCACAAGTCAATTCCCAGTAGGACCGGTTTTACATCCCCAGTGTGTGGCTTGCAGGAGGTAGCCAATCAATGATTCTCTTTCATCATTGATTTTTCTCTCATTCTCTCCCTCTCATTTTTCTTTAAAATCAATAAAAATATATTTTAAAAAAATAATTTATGGCCGGGACCGGTTTGGCTCAAAGGATAGAGCGTCGGCTTGGAGACTGAAAGGTCCCGGGTTCGATTCTGGTCAAGGGCATGTACCTTGGTTGCGGGCATATCCCCAGTGGGGGGTGTGCAAGAGGCAGCTGATCGATGACTCTCTCTCATCTGTGTTTCTAATTCTCTATCTCTCTCCCTTCCTCTCTGTACAAAATCAATAAAATATATTTAAAAAAATAATAATAATAATAATTTATGGCCAAAACCGGTTTGGCTCAATGGATAGAGCGTTGGCTTAGGGACTGAAAGGTCCCGGGTTCGATTCTGGTCAAGGGCATGTACCTTGGTTGCGGGCATATCACCAGTAGGGGGTGTGCAAGAGGCAGCTGATCGATGACTCTCATCGATGTTTCTAACTCTCTATCTCTCTCCCTTCCTCTCTGTACAAAATAAAATAAAATATATTTTTAAAAAAATAAAATAATTTATGATACCTACCTACTGATGCCAGGTTCCAGAAGGTTTCCAGCATCACATCTGTGTAGAGTTTCTTCTGGGTGGGATCCAGGAAAGCCCACTCCTCCATTGTGAACTCCACATTAACATCTTCAAAGGCTACTGAGTCCTAAAACATCCCACATATACATATAGGAGACTGGGTGAGACAAAAATACTGGGGACCTATACATAATTTATAGGAAGTTCACTTAGAACACATAGTCCCCAACATTAAGTTTATGACTTGATTGTAAGACTATTATTAATTTACCACATTCACATCCTCAAGAACACATGGAATATATTGATATGATTTTACTGTGATCACTTGAAGTCTTCTAATGTCAGGGTAAAGAACAGCTTGAACAACTTCTATATTAATACATCAAAATACTTCTATTTTTAGTCCATTGATTCCTTGTGCCCATACTCATCACCATTATAACCACCATTTGATGCAGCCATCCATGAAACATACTGACATGTGTCCATAAAGTTTTAGTAACTGTGAATACAATAAAGGTTTTGTAGCTTTCTCTTTTATTCTCATCATCAAACAGGAGAGGCCAGGCGTTGTGTGTAAATTCAAATTAGAACAAAATGTACTTGGCCATATTGTCCTAAAGTACACCAGATTATTAGAAGTCATCAGATACACCTGGATGAATGAAAATATTCTCATGGAGGAGTATGGATGAACATTTGTTTTTATAATATTTGTTAGTAAATAAGTTTGACGTTCTTTTGCCTCTCTCATTTCATGGAAGTTAGAGTTAGAGCTCAGGCATGAGCAACACAGGACAACTTAGCCCTCTACAAAAGTCCTCTACTCGTAAGCCTGAGGGTTACTTCATAGTGATTTTTTAGGATACATGGACACATATATTGAAATTGTAAGATCACACTCAAAAGAAGTCTTTCCAGCAGAATTGTGACTATATCTGGGGCTTAGACCTTGGGGAACAATTTAAGACGTGGCATGTCCAACGGCCTTTATTCAAATCTTCACTATTTTCATGTTGAAAGCAATCTATAGCTTAAATACAATTCGTATCAGGACACCCTTGATGAAACTCACATAACTAGAATATTGAACAAAATTTTCATAGATCTCAAAACACCCTGAATAGCAACAGCAATCTTGAGAATGAAGAACAAATGTGGATGAATCACACTACCCAATATCCAACTGTACTACAAGGCCATAGTAATTAAAACAACCTGGTCCTGGCCTAAAATCAGCATATAAGTCAGTGGAACGAACGGAACAGAGAGCCTAGATATAAGCCCTTGCCTTTATGGTCATGGAATACTTGACAAAGGAGGCAAGAACACACAGTAATGTAAAGGTAGTATCCAAAAAATAAAAGGTTAATATGGAAATTGTGCCCAAGAGTTTGATTGACCGGGAGTTCCACAACTTGCTATGACGTGTGCTGACCACCAAGTCATGACACAAAACATGGCAGTTGTTAGCAAGGCGAACTAGTAGTGGGTGGCAGTGGAGGTGAGCAGGACTGCTATAAGATGGTTCAGTAGCTGAGTGGGTGGTGCCAAAAAAGGCAGCCGTGAAGGGGAGCCCCACATGTCACCCCACAGATAGAGACGGTTGCTAACAATGGGGGGCGGTGTTGGTGAGCAGATGTTGCCAGGCCAATGTGGCTGGGAGAAGGGCCCCTCATGGCCCGGTGGTTGCACACAAGATGATAACAATATATAATATAAACGCTTAAACAGCTGTGAAATGCAAATGGTGCCTATGTTACAAGAAAAAAAGGGGCCCTTTGCAGACTATTATAACTTACTAGAGGTCCAGTGCACAAAATTCATGCACTGAGGAAAGGGGTCCCTCAGCCTGGCTGCACCCTCTCGCAGTCTGAGACCCCTCGAGGGATGTCTGCCTGCTGGCTAGTATCTTCCGAAGGGTCCTTACCACTGCCACAGAGGCAAGAGGCTCCTACCACCACCACCACTGTGCTCTCCAGCCATGTGCCCAACTTCTGGCTGAATGGCATTCCCCCTGTGGGAGTGCACTAACCACCAGGGGGCAGCTCCTTCATCAAGTATCTGCCCCCTGGTTGTCAGTGTGTATCATAGCAACCGGTTGTCCTATTCGGTTGATTTGCACCTTAGCCTTTTATTATATGGATAACTCTTGGTTCCCTGATGGTGGAACATTAGACCTTGATCTCTAGGAACAAGAAGGTAGGAATCTAAAGAGAAATCAGGCCCAGGGAAAACAAGTGCCTTTGTCATCTTTAATTATGTGGAATCTTGTTCGAGCTGCACTATGTCACCTCATATTGAGGATCAAAAGCCTACAGAACACCAGGAGGATTTTCCCTGCCCCCTCCTCCTGAAGTAGAGCCTGTAAAGCCGGTAATATGGAAGGCCCCAACCCTCGGCCTCCAGTGTGGGAAGTCTCATAAACTAAATCCTCAGTTATGGGACCATGTGTCAGTCAAGCTGTTAGAAGAAGAGCCTTTGGCTTGCCCATTTATGCTAGAATCAAGATAATTGGATACATGAACCATTTCCCCCCCCCAATGGGGGGTGTGCAGGAGGCAGCTAATCGATGTTTCTCTCTCATTGATGTTTCTAACTATCCCTCTCCCTTCCTCTCTGTAAAGAAAACAAAACAAAACAAAACAAAAACAGAACAAAAACAGAACAAAAAACTAGTGGTCCTCAATGTGTCAATACAGTCATGAGCCACATAACCTATGGTCAACAACAGACTTCATATAGGATGGTAATCCCATAAGAGTATAATGGATTTGGCATAAAAAATAAATTACCTAGAAATATATTTAAGCAAGGAGGTAAAAGACCTATATTCAGAAATTTATAAGACACTGAAGAAGAAATTAAAGAAGATATCATACAAATAAGTGGAACCAAATACCATGTTCATAAATAAGAATGAACATAAATAAAATGTCCATACAACCCAAGGTGATCTATACATTCAGTGCATAGGAACTGACCAATCAAAACCAAAATTCCTATCAAAATACCAATGACATTTATCACAGGACTAGAACAAGAAATCCAACATTTCATATGAATCCACAAAAGACCCCAAATAGCCAAAGCTATCTTGACAAAAAAGAACGAAGCCAGAGATATCACATTATCTGATATCCAACTACTAGAGGCCCAGTGCACAAAATTTGTGCAGGGGAGGGGTGTCCCTCAGCCCAGCCTGCACCCTCTCCAATCTGGGACCCCTCAAGGGATGTCCGACTGCCCTCCTACATCCAGGATTGCTGGCTCCAAACTGCTCACTTGCCTGCCTTCCTGATTGCCCCTAACTGCTTCTGTGTGCCAGCCTGATTGATATCCAACTGCTCCTCTGCCAGCCTGCTTGCCCCCAACTTCCCTCCTCTGCCAGCCTGATATTCCTAACTGCCTTCCCCTGCAGGCTAGATCACCTCCAACTGCCCTCCCTTGCAGGCCTGGTTCCTCCCAACTGCCCTCCCCTGCTGGCCATCTTGTGGTGGCCATCTTGTATCCACACGAGGGCAGGATCTTTGACCATATGGGGGTAGCCATCTTGTATGGTGGACTGATGGTCAATCTGCATATTACTTGTTTATTAGATTGAATAGAGGCCTGGTGCATGGGTGGGGGCCAGATGGTTTGCCCTAAAGGGTGTCCCAGATCAGGGTGGGGGGTTCCCTTGGGGTGTGGGGCAGCCTGGGCGAGGGGCTTGTGGTGGTCTGCAGGCTGGCCACGCCCCCTGGCAATCCATGGTATCTGGGATTTATTTATCTTCTACAGTTGAAACTTTGCAGCCTGGAGCGGAGCCAAGCCTTCTGCTCACTCCGTGGCAGCAGCCATTTCTGTTGGGATTTATTTATCTTCTATAATTAAAACTTTGTAGCCTTAGGCAAAGGCCAAAGCAGGCTAGGGCTTCAGAAGCTTGCTTCCTCCCTCATCAGAAGCAACCCTAGCCTCCTGCTTTCTCCAGCTCCATGGCTGCCGCCATTTTTATTGGGATTTATTTATCTTCTATAATTGAAACTTTGTAGCCTTAAGCAGAGGCCTGGACCAGCCAGGGTGCTTGGAAAGCTTGGCTTTCTCCATTGCCAGGGAAACCCAAGCCTCCCTCCTGCTCTCTGTGGCCACAGCCATCTTGGTAGGGTTAATTTGCATTTTCGCTTGTGATTGGTTTATGGCATGGCAGGTGGGCGTAGTAGTGTGATGGTTAATTTGCATATTACTCTTTTATTAGATAGGACATTACAAAGTTATAGTAATCAAACCAGCATGGTACCAGCATAAAAACAGACATATAGACCAATGGAAGAGAGCTTACAAATAAATCCAAACTTATATATTAAGTTAATATATGACAAAGGAGACAAGTGCATACAATAAAGACAGTATTCAATAAATGGTGTTGGGAAAATGCATGCAAAAAAAAATGAAACCTAGACCTCATTCTTACACCATATACAATAATTACCTCAAATGGATTAATGACTTAAATGGAAGCCTTCAACAGTAAAATCTTTTAATATTTCTCTTAATATTTTTATGAGATGTCCCCTTGAGCAAGGCAAACAAAAGAAAAAATAAACATGAGACCACTTTAAACTATGGACCTAAATAGAAACTTTTCTAAAGAAGACAGAAGGAAAGCCAAGAGACACATGAAAACATGCTCAAAGTCACTAAATATCCGAGAGATATAAATCAAAATGACAATGTGGTACCACCTCACACCTGTCCGAATGGCAACCATCAACAAAACAAGGACAAGTGCTGGTGAGGATGGGGGGGGAGGGGGGAGGGAGGAACCCTCGTGCACTGCTGGTGGGAACGCAGACTGGTGCAGCCACTGTGTGAACAGTATGGAATTTCCTCAAAAAACTAAAAATGGAACTCTCATTTGACCCAGCAATCCCACTCCTAGGAATATATCCCAAGAAACTAGAAATACCAATCAGAAAGGATATATGCAACCCTATGTAAATAGCAGCACAATTCACCATAGCTAAGATTTGGAAACAGCCTAAATGCCCATGAGCAGATGAGTGGATTAGAAAACTATGGTACAGCCGAAACTGGTTTGGCTCAGTG